ATCTTCCTTCCTTTTGGATCTTTCCCATGGCGTGTAAACGTTTGGAAACAGCTGCTTCAGTAACTCCTAGCTCGTTTCCAAGTTCTTGTAACGTTCGAGCCGAGTTTTCATGCAATAATGCTAGCAATTCATCGTCTTGGAATTTTTTTGGCTGTCCTGAGCGTGGTTTGTCATTGACATCAAAATCATTACTTTTGAATCGTCTATACCACTCTTTACATGTTGTATGTGATGGAGCTCGATCACCATAACCTTCTTCAAGTAATCGATGAACTTCTGCTACACTTTTTTTCAAATCAAAATAGTGCAAAAGCACATGTCGAAAAAACACTTTATCGCGTTCCATTTTTCACAAAGCAAAAGAAATTGTTGTTTAGGAAAATAATTGTGTATGCTGACTGAATGTTATCGAGAAATGTCGAAATTAATCACAAACTACCTGTTTCGTTAGTAATGACTACTAGAACTGTTTGCATTGCCATCTAACATTTGCGGGCGGAAACTAAGTTAAGGTCCTAATATTTTATTTTATTTTATTTGTACACGTAAAATATTGAAAATAATCTAAAATGAAAAGTAACAATATAAAGTAAAATATAGAAACAAAAAATTTTAACGAAAAATATAGAATAGTAAAATATAGAAACATAAAATTTTAGCGAAAAAACATAATGCGCAATTAGAGGCGAGATATATCTTTTATTCTTTTAATGCTTCATCTGTAGTCCTTTAATTTCCTAATTTCTGAGAAAACTGCACATCTTTAATAGCGTGTAATTTAGTGAAATTTATTCAAATCTTTCGATTAAGAAGTTTTTCATGTTTGTTTTTCGCGTTGACAACTAGACCGCCTACTAAGAGAGTCCATTGTGCGCGCAAAAAATATACTTTAGACTCTTGCGCGAGTTAAATTACTGAACAAGGAAGGGGAATATATATCCATCGCCTGATTAGATAGGATGCAGCGATTCGAGAAACGCGCAAAGTGGATAGTGGTTGTTACTGGTCGGGCAAGTTTCCGCGTCGTCGCGGGAACTTCACGAGACGGAAAACGAGTAAAGTAATCGCGAATCGATACCAGCGGCCCTCTAAACTGCTTGAAAGTTGAAAGAGACCCAATGCCACGCTGCTTTCCTTCTAGGATCATCGTGAAACTAGCGGTGGCGTTTGGTTGGCGGTTGAGTGAATCAATTTCGTAAACTCTGCGACGTCCACTTCTATCAAAGATGATGAGGAAGTTTCGAGAGTTACGACAGAACTAAATAACTTAATCTATATAGTAAGACCTTTAAATATTCATATTAATTTTTGTAATTTATTTTTAATTTTTAATTTAGTTCAACTTTTAATTTTTGAATTATTTTTTTATCACTTTTGAATTTGCGATTGCGAGCGAGTTATCCAACTTCTTTGGTATAAAAGTATAACAATTAATTCGCGCGTAATTGTTTTGTGCCACAATTTTCCTTCGTATCTGTACACACGCGAGTTCTTTTTAAAGTAAAACCGCAGAAAAGTCCAAAGGAGCGTTTTTTCGGAGGAAATATTCCAATCGACCCTCCCACGAGGTATTTTCGCTCGAGTTTCCGCATCGTTGCAACAGTCGGCATAATCAAATGCGGGTGAACGTTGATTCGGTAGTTTTTTGGGTTACCGTAAAGTCGACTTTGAACAGCTCTCGAACGACATACTGCGTCGCACCACGACGATGTTCGATCCTATAGAGAAGGTGAAATTCCTCGGGACGAATCGCGGCTCGTAACGGCAAACATGCTCGAGACGTGTACGGTTTCGCCAACCCGGGTCCCTTACACTTCGCGGGTACATAGCGCGCTGGAATTGAAAGTGGAGGAAACACGAAGATCCCGGAGTCCCGGTAAATCTCTCGAGGAATTCAGTGTCGGCCTTGGAAGGAGATGGAGGATACCGGGGGTGGACGAGTCGGCGGAGAGTAGGAGAGGGTCAGGGGTGTTCTAATCGGCTTGTACGTGTACTTCCGTGCACCCTCACAAATAGCTAAGCTCGTTGAGAAAGGCGGTTAAGCTTGGGAGATGTTCCCATCGAAGGTGGTCAAATTCCAGGAAAATCCCGTAGAGACGCGGAAATGAAATTATCGGCGCGGAAACAAAGTTGGATAGAAAAACTTGAGACATTACACCGGCCCGGTTACAATGTGTTAGTCTGTCTATGGCGAGGTTTTATCTCACTTGCGTGCGTTCCGTGTGATCGCGTGACATGTTACATTGCCTTTAATTGCATTGTAATGGAATGCCGTTACGAGAATTCGAATCACGCGCAACGAGGGCGGTTAATTTTGTTACTGATTCGATGTATATTACGATGTATGCTGCGATGTTATTTAACACAGTAATAAATCGCAGTAAATTAATTCTAATATAAAAGGTTAACAATTATGTTACGTACAGTAAAATTTACTGATTTAGTGAATAAACTGATGTGTTTTGCATAACTTTTCGTACTGATGTACGTACTGATATCTATTATTCATGAAATCCATTGGATCGATGATAATAAAAATCAATAACATTGTGAACTTTTAATGCATAACAAAACTGAATCTGCATTGAGAAGAAAATATTTCAATTTCATTATATGTTGGATATAAAATTTATTCCACAGAAAAAGAAACTTTATTTCATAAAAATAAAATTTATATTCTACAAATAAATTTTCAAATATTTTTTCTCCGTGTGCATATCTTACTAATTTCTACTAATTATTGCGATTACTCTATTAACATTTACAAATTACATCATCAATGATATTGCTCGCCCGGTATCGATTGGTTTTCGTAGTGATGTTAGCTTGTCATAGTTTATCGCTCTTTTAGGGAAAAACGCGGTTATCTCTTTATTCGACGATTGATGTCTGGAGACGTCAATAGTCGCGTGGAGATTTGTTTCGCGGATAACGAGCTATCGCGATTTGCAAGAGAAAAAAGCCGCCTACGGAGACAGAATGTCACGCGACAGAAATGTCACTGTGACGTGACAAATGCCAGCTGATGGTGAATTCGACGATCTCGCAGGAAGTCCACGTATCGCATGGCGACGCAATACGGTGACGTCTCACGTGCTACGATGATCAGTCACGGGAATATTCCGTCGTCGCGAAACGAGCGTTTATGCCGTGCGATGCCATTTGCGGCGCTCGCCGGTGCCGTTCCTAATTCAACGCAATCATCCCGGTCTAGGGATTACACTCGACCGACCATTCACTACCCGCTTGTTATTTCCGCCAAATTATGAGAGAGGCACGATCCGAGGCGCGCAATCGTTTCACTGCATAATTAATGCGTGCTTACGGGCGTATCTTTGACACGATAAGAATTCAGGAAAGCCTCAGAAAACGCTCACATGAGAAGTCATCGACAGACGGAGGATGAAAGTAGCGAGGTAAAGATCGTGCGAATTATTTTGTTTCAGCTTTATACAACTTATATAAACGTATATAAGATATCAAAGATAACGACGTGTACTCAAGACCGCCTCTGAAGTTTCCTCAATCTTATAATATTTTCAGTAATATCTTAAGTAAGAGACTTTAATGTGGATTGGGCGACTGAGGATTCCTCTATGCATCTTTCTATCTGACGTGAATATCGGAAGATTGGCGATGCACAATCCGCAGTGAACGCGCCTGCAAAGTCTTCGAACTATTTAAATGGATCCATTAATTAATTAACGCTATGGAACCGGTTTGCCGAAGCGAGTAGACGTTCTTTCCTTTAGGAATTATTCTTTCCCGGAGAAAGACGAGCTTAAAATGTCGTTCAATCTGAATCGACCCTATTCCTACGTTGAGTCTCGTCTGAATCGCCTATTAATCGAACGAACTCATCGTCAACCATATCGTTAATTTATTATCTCTCTATCGATTTTTCGATTTGCTACATGGTTCCAAATCCGCTTTACTCAAATTTATGTGAAAAATATTCGCGTACACGGATTCAAAATACGTTTTGCGTGTTAAGCTCGAATTTCGCAGAATTCGACCGGGATGAGCTTTACGCTAACAGGAAAATTTCAAGCGAAACTTAATATATTCGCTACCACGACTTACTTAAAGGACTACTCCGACAACCCACCTCATATTTTTATTTATATAATTTTGTAAAATAAACTTAATTTGATAATGCAGACATAAAAAATTTTTTTTGCCGTCACATATATGTGACGTTAGTAAGGAACGTGTTAAATATCCAGACGTTTGCGTTTCATTTACAGCAATGCACATCTGCGGTATCTCAAACGTAAAAGAAAAGAAGATAAAAGAAAAGAAAAATAGCCTTGTGGGAAAGCTCTTGTTTGGAAAAAGCGCTCGTTGGACAACAAATAACTTCTCTTTAATTTGCTTTTTTGATCTTTAAGAAGCAAACGCAATAACAATTCACACTCGAAACATTGAAAGAAGACTAAGAGTACTCTCGCATGTTCTCGATTGTTTAACTGATTAAATAGTTAAATGTTTGCGCATGTTGGACGATGAGATTGTAAATATGCATTTGCTATCAACGTTAGTGGGAAAGAAGAGAAGAGAAAGCGTGGTCTCAGAAAATGAAATAAAACCACACGTTACTTCTCTTCCATTTTCCCGTCGAGAATAGTTGATGGACATCTCGATTATTTAACCGATAGTTAAATGTTTGCGCATGTTTTTGCAAGCCGTTTACATTTATTTTTATTATGCGGCGAGCAGCACGCAAAGTGCTATTACGGCAAAAACGGGCATTAAATATCGCGAGAAATTTTATTGCGCACAAGACGAATTTATGTAATGCAGGTACTTCTGATACGTTAATGAAAGCGCATAGGAATTCTAGCACAAATAATGTGTACAAATGAAGTGTCTTTTGTTTCCCCGTGTTCTCGCGCATGCTTGACTTTCTACTTGTGTATAACAAGTATTCGTTGTCGTAAATGCACAAGTCGTTATTGACACTACGTGGTATAGCGAAAGTTAAATTCATTATCACTTACCGTAGTCGTCTTCGTAGATGATTGCTACATTAGTCCAGTTGAGGAACTCCATGATGTCCTGATAAGCGATGTTGAGCAGACTTTGTGCGGGATAGAGATTGATGCTGAACTCCTTCGCCTCCGCGTCCAGATCCAGCCTGGCCTCGAGATGTGGGATGTCGAGAGCGTCACAGATACTGTGAATGTGCTGGCCCAGAATCGGGTCCGAGGGCCCGAAGACTGCCTGGACGCCATACTTGACCTGCTGGCACGCTGTAACAACGAGTCACGAACGTATAAATTATTTTCGCTACTGTATAAAGATATTACGACATTTTCTGTCAATTTTTGTGGTATAATCTCAATCGTGGTAAATATCTCGTTAAATTATGCACTTTTATTGCACATAGGCACTGAGAAATAAATGATATCGAACAGATTCTTTTTTACTCTTTAGACAATTTTTCATCATTTGTAATTTTCCATGAAAAATAATTTTTCATAACTTACTCATACATATTCGCTTAATATATAAATATATATATATATATATATATATATATATATATCCATGTATATTTTCTGTTTAAATCCGATTTCAGAGACAAGTTTCTTTTGTCACAACAAGAATATATGTCGAGTGTGCTTGGAGAGAGAGAGAGGGAGGGAGGGAGAGAGAGAGAGAGAGAGAGAGAGAGAGAGAGAGAGAGAGAGAATGAGAGAGATCGTCCATGAAGAAATATTTCTTTCGTGCAAGAGTCGCGAGATGTGCTCTATTTCGAATTAAATAAGCCGCTCTCAAGTTTTCCGAAATTACCGGATAAGAAGATAAGAGGAAACACGAGACTCTGCGACGTGTAAAAAAGATGATACTGATGCTGTTGCTGCTGCTGCTGCTGCTACTGTTGTCGCTACTTCGAACGATACAATATGTATTATATGGTTTCGCGACAACGCGTGTTCCCGGGAGAAGATACGCGCGCCACCGTAAAACGCACTTAATACGAATTATCGATTCTCTCGTTTTACTCCGTGGATCGCCCATAAATCGATCATGCGTTCGCACACCGACGACACGCCGGTGCGGCGTGTTGCCGGCTGCGGGAATTACCGTTGTCGCGATTATTAGCGAAATCGAGGCGATTCCGTCGCAGTGTGTATCGCAATGTGTGCACGCAACACAACGAGGTCACGCGTGTGTGTGCGCGCGCGCGCATACACGTGGAACGCACGCACCCGCACACCAGCGCACACATACACTCGCGATAAAACCCGTTACTTCCCTCTCGCTCTCGCCCGTTGTTGTTCGTTCGGCTTTTAAAACGCACGCCCGCGACGACGAGTTCCGAGATGAGTCCCGCACACACACGGTTCACCGAAATTTCCGACATAGGTGGGTTTACGTGGCCACGTCGGTTACGTGTACGCGAGTGTACCCGCAGCGCCAAAAGGAACGGAGCACGCGCCCGTGCCGTGCGAGTTGAACGGCCTTAAGGACTCAGGTGCGCACACCAGGTGTTCGTCGTTCCGCGAGTAAACGTGCGAACGA